TATATGCGCATGAAAAGTAAATTAGCATGCGAACTATTCTATATGCAAATGTAGGCAACACATGTTCCATGATCTGCTAATGCAGTGAATGAGATATCACGTCTTTATAAACTTGCGCAGTGTGCGGTGGTGATTCCATTTCACGAAATCAGCATTTTTGCGTCTTATTCAGAAATAATGCTTAGTTATATGATGCAGTCATTTCATCTGTTGCCATATGAAGAACTGTTCTAGTTTACTTCTTATTTCTTTTTGTATGCATTGATGGAACTAAGTTCAGACATTTTAGTTATTTTAGACTGAAAGTAATTAGTACTTTCATTTTTTTTTCCATATTTAGATTCTAAGGAGATTAGCATATTTCATGTACTGTTTACCCTTAGTGATTTGTGCATTTTAGCTTACCACCGTCGATACAGCATGACAATAATCGGCGTTTCTGAGCTCCGTGATCTTTTAGTTCCGTCATTAATTAATTTCTCATTAATATGTATTTACAAAATTGAGTGATGTCAGGACGGATCTGCGCTAACGGAAGCCTGTCCTTTCCGAAGGTATTTCACTCTAACAAATAAAGTGTATATGCTCGTGTATATGTGCATGCATGTCTACGTTGCCGTGAAAATTCAGTTCTAAAAGTCTTGTTTTGATAAAATACATGGTAAAGCTTTTAGAGCTTGCACTGTTTTTGTTTGTTTTTTTTCTCTATGATGTAGCAAGTCTTTTATAAATATTCCTTTCTTCTCTTGTCATTCAGAATTTGTTTTATTATTTACAAACATATATACTTAAACGATAAAAAAATACTTGACAGTTAATTTCTGGAATACTGTAACGTACTGCGTTTCACCATACAGTTTACAGGAGAATTTTGCTCGCCACAGAGGAGGGTATGCACCAGCTTCGAGTTGGACTGATGTTAGCGAGACTTCCAGGCAGGCGAGGGCGGCCGCGCTAAGACTGGCATTCCGGAAGGAAAGTCCCGAGCCGTATAACAGGATCAGGGATGAAGGAAATGCATGGGAGGGCGAGGTAAAGGTTTGGAGCTGAAATACTTGTGGAAGGTAGTGCATTTCATGAAATATTTCAGGAAATGAAAATAGCAAGGACTTACGTGCATACGAAGTACAAATGCTGGTCCGAAACAGCCAGGAGGAGCAACTTAGCAGCAGAAAGTGCAACCAGACAACACCCGGAAGAGTTGCAGTGAAGCAAGAGAAGAACAAAGGCAGAATTTGAGATTAGTTGATGGAAGTTGAGAGAGAAAGGCTGTGGTGGAGCGTTTAAGCCCCAGGTGAAGCCAGAGCAAGGAGAAGAGATGCCAATGGACTATGAGGTTTTTGAGATAGATAGCAAGAGAAGCGTTGAGTCTGCCGTACGAATAGATGGAATTTTACGCCGATGATAAAACGAAGCTGTTCAGGAATTCAGAATCGAGCAAGGAAGATTGATGAAGGGGATTATACCGGATGAAAATCTCAAATAGTAAGATTCATCGATTCAGAATGATAGAGGGAAAGGGAAGTAAAGAGGCTTATAGAGCTGATATGAAAAGTCTGGTCAAAAAACAAACAAGCGATTAAACAGTGGGTTGTTGATACGAACGCTCCAGGTAAAAAAGAAAAATGTACATAGACAGTAGTACGACCGGGAATGTTCAATAACCTGAAGAGAGTATGAACGAGTGTGAAACGAGAGTAAGAGTTGGCAATGGCTGAAACGAAAACCCAACGGTTGTCTCTATGGTAAATACAGAAAAAAATGAGATGGAGAAAATAAATGAAAAGATGAGATATGGCTGAGATCACATGGACATATAAGGAAGTGTGTAAAAGCCTTGTAGATGAACGCCTCAGACCAAACGGAAAGATAACGACCAGAAAAATTTATTAAAGTGGCAAAAAGTAACACAAGAAAGAAGAACTGATAAATAACCAAGATAAAAGATTGGCCCTGTTAGCATATTTCATGTACTGTTTGCCCTCAGTGATTTGTGCATTTTAGCCTACCACAGTCGATAAAGCATGACAATAATCGGCGTTTCTGAGCTCCGTGATCTTTTAGTTCCGTCATTAATTAATTTCTCATTAATATGTATTTACAAAATTGAGTGATGTCAGGACGGATCTGCGCTAACGGAAGTCTGTCCTTTCCGAAGGTATTTCACTCTAACAAATAAAGTGTATATGCTCGTGTATATGTGCATGAATGTCTACGTTGCCGTGAAAATTCAGTTCTAAAAGTCTTGTTTTGATAAAATACATGGTAAAGCTTTTAGAGCTTGCACTGTTTTTGTTTGTTTGTTTTTTCTCTATGATGTAGCAAGTCTTTTATAAATATTCCTTTCTTCTCTTGTCATTCAGAATTTGTTTTATTATTTACAAACATATATACTTAAACGATAAAAAAATACTTGACAGTTAATTTCTGGAATACTGTAACGTACTGCGTTTCACCATACAGTTTACAGGAGAGTTTTGCTCGCCACAGAGGAGGGTATGCACCAGCTTCGAGTTGGACTGATGTTAGCGAGACTTCCAGGCAGGCGAGGGCGGCCGCGCTAAGACTGGCATTCCGGAAGGAAAGTCCCGAGCCGTAAAACAGGATCAGGGATGAAGGAAATGCATGGGAGGGCGAGGTAAAGGTTTGGAGCTGAAATACTTGTGGAAGGTAGTGCATTCCATGAAATATTTCAGGAAAGGAAAATAGCAAGGACTTACGTGCATACGAAGTACAAATGCTGGTCCGAAACAGCCAGGAGGAGCAACTTAGCAGCAGAAAGTGCAACCAGACAACACCCGGAAGAGTTGCAGTGAAGCAAGAGAAGAACAAAGGCAGAATTTGAGATTAGTTGATGGAAGTTGAGAGAGAAAGGCTGTGGTGGAGCGTTTAAGCCCCAGGTGAAGCCAGAGCAAGGAGAAGAGATGCCAATGGACTATGAGGTTTTTGAGATGGATAGCAAGAGAAGCGTTGAGTCTGCCGTACGAATAGATGGAATTTTACGCCGATGATAAAACGAAGCTGTTCAGGAATTCAGAATCGAGCAAGGAAGATTGATGAAGGGGATTATACCGGATGAAAATCTCAAATAGTAAGATTCATCGATTCAGAATGATAGAGGGAAAGGGAAGTAAAGAGGCTTATAGAGCTGATATGAAAAGTCTGGTCAAAAAACAAACAAGCGATTAAACAGTGGGTTGTTGATACGAACGCTCCAGGTAAAAAAGAAAAATGTACATAGACAGTAGTACGACCGGGAATGTTCAATAACCTGAAGAGAGTATGAACGAGTGTGAAACGAGAGTAAGAGTTGGCAATGGCTGAAACGAAAACCCAACGGTTGTCTCTATGGTAAATACAGAAAAAAATGAGATGGAGAAAATAAATGAAAAGATGAGATATGGCTGAGATCACATGGACATATAAGGAAGTGTGTAAAAGCCTTGTAGATGAACGCCTCAGACCAAACGGAAAGATAACGACCAGAAAAATTTATTAAAGTGGCAAAAAGTAACACAAGAAAGAAGAACTGATAAATAACCAAGATAAAAGATTGGCCCTGTGAAGCAACATTATTCATTTGTACATTATGATTAAGGTAAATATGACGGGGAAGAGGGTGAACGAATATCTTTAGTTAAATTATACAATCACTTACATCACAGTAGTATAGATAGATTACGTACTGCATATCTTGAGAAAAAAATTGTGTGCTGCACCTGTTTATATCAATTGGTTACATCACACTGCTGTTCTCGCTCCTATATAAAGTGACAACGCAGCTCCATCCACACAGAAAACCTTTTTATCCAGTTAACTCCAGCTGCATCTCATATTTTCAAACATGAATACACTCCGGGTTCTTGGTCTGCTGTTGGTACGTTTGTCAGCTTCTGAATTCTACTTTTTTGGATTTTGTTGTTATATTTTAGTGTTCAGTACATAGTAATATTTTCTGGTATTGTATACAAGGTAATCGATAAAAGGTGCATTTCTAAATGTGCATTACTCTTACAAAGGTATGTCAACTTGCTCTCGCCATCGAGTCGGCACCGTATACCGTCGTTAACTCGGCTGAGGTGCGTAAGCCACTTGTAGTTTTTTGTTTTGTGTTCTAATATTATTTATGAATGATAAATCTAGCTAATTAAGAAGTGACTCCAGCACCGTGTCTAGTCGTTGACATTGATTATTTGGCTTCAGGCCTACGAGGAGCGTGTGTATCCCGCGCAAAAATGGATCACCACATCCATTCTCTCTATCTCCCACGACGAGGCCACCAGCATCACCTTCTACAGGCTCTTTGACTACATTGACGGTCAGAACGAAGAGGGTAAGTTGTGCTTAATAGGTGACTGTCACCGTCAATAAATGTCAATGTAAATGTGCTAAATATTTGCCATGTGTTTCAGTGGAGAGTCATCCCTATGTTATCCTGTCACAGGCATGAAGATCGACATGACAGCCCCTGTGACCACGCTGGTCATCCCCGGAGAAGGACCCAACTGTGAGAACAACTTCACCGAAAGCTTCTACATTCCTTCAGCCCACCAAGCCAACCCACCAAAACCCTCCAACCCTGACGTATACATCGAAGAGCGACCGGAACTGCACGTCTTCTCCAGGTAAGTTACCTACAAATACAATGTACAATATATTACGTACATGTGTAATATTCTCTAGGTAAGTTGCGTTTGCTAGTCAGTAAATACAGCTATATACGTGTTGCAGGAGGTTCCACGGGTTCGCCAACGACGAGGACTGGATCGTCAACGCCGCGCAGCTTCATGACGACTTGGTGGCAGCCGGAGAGGAGGGCGTCGACTTCCAGACCTACTACACTGTTGGCTACGACTCTCCCTTCGTTGTCGTCGACCGCGACAACGAAGTATGGTTCATGAAGAAGTGAGGGGACTCATCACCAGGGACGCTAAGATATTATCATGTTTTGTGTGTGCTCGTGTCTGTAAATTAATTTTGTCATAAATTTACTACTGTTA